GTCTGTCGACGGCGTCGCCGTGCCCGACCGAAGACCGAAAGCCTCACATGGGAAGCTTTTTCATCGAATCGTTGGAGTGAATCGCCGAATGAATTAACGGCGATCTCTTTGTGCCATCGTCCACACTTCGTTAGTTGCCTAGAGCATTATTCGAGCTCCGTTGAATCCAGCGAGAGAACTTCCAAATAAAGTCAAAACAAGGTCTGCGACCGTTGCATAACTATATCATTGTCGCCGACAGTGTCGTCGACGCCGCAACCGCCACCTACACAAGCGCCCCAAGCTGAGAGTGTCAATCAAATCTGAGTGAGAGAGCGTCAGAAGATGACTCGCGGCTGTTTCGGTGGACTGCCGCAGCGGAGAAACATCGAATGAGAAAAAGTTCTGGGATACGTTCCGGGGGAGAAAACCGCACGGCATGAAACTGTGGTGACGAGGCGGGTGTCAAGGCGTACGGCGGGGAATTCCACTTGCTGCTGTACGGATCCCAGCTCTAGGGAAGGTACCTGGGGGGGATTCCTCCCGGAAAAGTCAAGACATTGATCGAGTAGATTACGAGTCTCGGATCGACGAAATTCATCGGTGTTCACGCCAGCTCAGAATCTGCTCATCGACGAAAATCCGTCCGGTCCCTGAGTTTTTCCGATTAGTCGCGAGGAAATGGCTCGAACTTCTGCCGCGCTCTTGATCGGAGCGTCTGATGATGATTCTTCTCCCGAATAGAGATCACTCAAAGTCAAGGTTTTGATGCCGCTCCACGATCCGGCAAGTGCGGTGTTGCGATGACACATAAGCTGAGTGATCCGTAAGTGCCCTCCGCTCGAGTCCGCTTCAAAGCGAATGGTAACAGTTGTAGCGGAATTCTCCTGAAGAGCCCTGGATATATCGAAGGTGTTATGCGATATGTCGCGTACATCGTCTTCGATGTCCCGACCATACCACAACAAACTTTCGAAGCCCATTCTCGCCTAATGGTCTGTCGCACGCTTTTCGGCCGGTCTAGCAAGCAGACTTTTTGCGAAATCTAAATCAATGATAATTTAGGCGACTAATGTCGCACGATGCTTTACGACCAACCGTTTCGCCTGGAGCTGGAACTCTGCCCCGTAATCGTTTTTCACATTTATGATACCGTGAAAGATGAGGTCAAGGGAAGACCTTGAATTCTACCCGACCCCAGCTAACGATCGTGGTCAGCGGTCGAGCCAAAGAAGCGCCTGCGCAGATTGATTTCGGAGACTTTAAGTGCGTCACAAAATTAGGGAACATCGAGATCGCCTCTGTGGAAAGGGCGAAACTCGTGGTCTGATACCTCGAAACGCTCTGGGGATGTTCAAGCTTGGAAAAAAAGAGTTTCCGCCCATTGTCTGTTTCTTCTCGGTTTTTTCGACTCTAGCTGTTGGACTAGCATAGTCGTTCTGGAAGCGGTAGTTCTGAAGAGATAGACTCGCGCAGCCGGAACAATGCAGTTGAATTTCTGATAGAATAAACGATTGAGAAGAGAGAGGCACGGGATCGCCGAAGAGTTAGCTTCCACAGAATGCTATGTGGCGACGATCACGCAACCGGATCTTGCGTTGTGGTCGCCGTAGATAATTTCATCACGCAACATTTTATGTGTGGATGAAACATCGATACACGACAATCAGTCAGTCTGCACTCCGGACAGCCGACGTCGTGTGCTGCTCTTGGTCAACGAATCGGAACCGCATAGATCGTCTGGCACTCGACTGGGTCCAAATTATCTCGAGGGTCCCCGTCCTCGGAGGACGCTCTCCGCTGGGACGGATCGAGTCGAATTTATCGGTTGGACTAATTGTATTGATCGGCAGCGGATAATCATGGTCATGGCTAAGGCTCTGTGTCTGCAAGCAGGACATGCCGCTCCGGGGAACTCTTGCGAAGGTTGGACTCACGTCGATTCTCTTTTTGCTTGAGCCGGCAAGCGTGGCAAGCTCTCTCGCAGAAGACTTTCTTCTGAAGACCTTTCGGCATTGTAGTTGCGGCTCCGGCAGACGGCACAGTCATCCACCCGCCGCCTCTGTCTGACCGACAACCAGCCAGCCAGCCCGCTCGGTCGTTCGTTCGGCAACTTGCTGCCGGCTTCTGGAAGCACGACCGAGCCGCCAGTCAAGCGACCGCCGTCTACCCGAAGTCGGCTGTCTGAAGCTGCGGAAGAACTTTCTGAAGTTCAACCACTTCTTCGACGCACGGCGAAAATTTGCGACTCGACGCTCGGTGATGTGGAAGCGGAACTTGGACTAACTCACTATCGGAAGACTGGCTCAGGAGCTATACAAGTTGGCATCCTGTCGAAAGTCCTGATCTTTGCGGCGACCTCCTCCCTCGCCGTCCCTTGCCGGAGCCTTGCCAAGGCCAAGGCCACCTGGCCGGATTACATTTTCACAACTACTGGTCCCCCTGCGCCCGCTCATTCGCCGACCGGAGTCGAGGTGAGGCAATCGAAAGATCGGCTCCGGGCTATAGATTTCACAATTAGCGCGATCGGAGGGTAAAGAGCCCGTCGTGAGGTTCGTGGGTGATCACAGGAATGAACGTGGCTCGATTTGGATGTGAGTTCGGTTGAAACCAATCAACGAGGACGTGTGCCTCCTTCTGGATTAAGCGGATCGAAGCAAATGAAACCACGGAATATCAAGTGTGTGGCGTGTTCAGTTAGCGGTGTCCTCTCGCTGTTCATCGACCCGATTTATGCATGAGGCCTGAGCTGTTGAAATCTTCACTCGTTTAGACTGCACACATCGGAGCCGAATGAAAAGTAATTCATACCTCTCGTGTAGCGGTAGGAGTTGTTAGCACAGTAGCCTCCGGGCACGTCCGGCAAGTGTGACGACATAAAAATGACCATATCGATCAGACAGAGTCGCGAGCGCTTGACTCCGGCGATTCGCAGTGTGTAGCTATCCGTTTACTCTGAGGGTCCCCACCCCTACACTCTGCTGCCCGGATTGCGATTCCTGACCCAGAATGTGTCGGAAGGATACCACATGGAAAGCGCTGGATGGAGCCGAGGGGACAGTTTCCCTCGGTGGGGTTTCCTGTGAAGAGTCTAGAACCAAGGGACTTCGGGCATATGTACGTTCGCATATGCGCGGATCAGGCGTTCCATTGGTCCAATCATAGGCTCTTCGAGTGTGCCGGCAGCTTAGGACAGGAAAACACTCATTGAGGCGTCCCGGCTGTTTCCTGGATCCCTCGCATTCCAACACAATAAGGAATCCGCCACCGCAGACCGAAATGACCGTCGACTGACGAAGCCTTCCACGGCCAGTTTCACAAGCGTAGATTACGAGGCGCGTTGTGGCTTTTCTGGTGAATCGATCGCAGTCAGGGAATCCCGGAGGCAAAATCAAATTCAGTACCCGGATATCGCTTGCTCGACCGTTCTGGAATTAGTCGGTGGTGGTGCGCCCATTGCCTCCACGTTTTAGGGAATGACAACCGCGGCTCGATTCTGGTTTGAGTATTTTACTTCGCGTGTGCTCGGTCGCTTGGAACGTCGTTCTAATTCGCTTTAGTGCGCAATACTGTTCGTTTAAAGAATCTTCGGCGGCTATAGTTCCGTACGATGGAGGCTTCACCGTCGACGCCGGCTCGAAAATCCCGAGCGTCGACAGTGTCTCAGCCTACAGCGGGAGTCGAACGCGAAGACCGGTATGAGTCCCTGTCGACCGATATTCCAGAATCCCACGTAGAAACAGCGCAGGGCCGCGGCTAGTTGACTTTGCGAACGAACTAGCAGCTTGCGTTACATTTCATTGAAGCTGGCCTCGACTTCAATCTTTCGCTTCATCAAGCAACACATCAACAGGCGCTGGAATCGACTTGAACCGAACAATGCTCCTTTTAGCAGCAACAGCCCCGACAACAGCCGTGGCCGCCTCTCTTGCAGACGGCCGCACCAGTAGCGGACCCGGGGTCTTAGCTCTAATGAAGAAAGAGATCGTTAGATCTCTCAGCCATATGTGTCCCTCACGCAATCTCATATAGGAGGACACGTACGTCAGAGGCTATATCTCCCCTTTCGCGGGAGTCTTATCCCTCAATCAGGAACGAATTGCGAGATCATTCTCTCAAATGACCGACGGACGACGTACATCCGCGAGGGACGAAACGAGAGTCGGATTGGCAATCTGCGTAATGTTTGAGCTAATAATAACCCAGGAAAAACATTTTCAATCGTCACGATCAGTGTCCGCGTTATTTTCAGGCTCTGAATGGTCGTCGTCGGCGCGCTTGAGCGTCAGCAGGCTGTGGATACCGCCCCGGAGCTGAGACGATGCGCCGATACAGAGCACTTGACTCACTCTCGGAGTTGATACCGCTGACTCGCAAGGGGCTCGTCGTTTCGGAATAAAGGTTCGTCTTGTGGATGTGAGGAGTGAGCGCGCGCAAACTCTATCTATTGGTAGCGAATGGAATTGAGCATCACGATTTGGAGCTTCAAGAGTTCATCTGAGCTTCAGACTGTCTCCCTCACCCCTCAACCATCACAAAAGTGATGGAATCGAAAAATGAGGTAGAGCATGCGAATTGGGAAAAATTCTCCAAGTTTTGGGACAGCCGCTCCCAAGCCAGCTATCGGGCAAATTCCTTCCCCGATTCAACTAAATTAATTTTTGTTTTTTTCAATCCTTTTTCCAATCGATCTTCAGTTACTCCCCTCCAAGCCTCCCAGCATGGTCCAACGCTATTATTCCGATTCTCGCGCGAACTCGCTGGCAGGAGATCCCCCCATTTATTATTGTTCCTCCTGATTGGGATTTTTCCATGATTATTGTTTTCTCCCTTTCAGATCTCCGTCTCCGACTCGAAACGCTGAGGTGCGACGTCCGTCGTCCGGAAGAGAAGTGATGCTCATCACCTGACCTGTTCGCGTTGGATCCGTTGCATCTTCCACACGAGTCGAACCCCGTTGTCGTCGTCGACGTCGTCGTTAGCGGCAACGTCTTCCTGTCGCCGACGGGTTCGTTCGTACCATGAATGGCGACACTACCGGGAATAATGGCTCTGCTGAAGAAGTCAAGGACTCGAGCTTCTCCGCGTTCGGACTCTCGCTACGGAAGTTCGGCCTGCGCTCGGGTCGTAGAGCGACGATCACGTCCTTGGGCGAACAGGATGAGACCTGCGGCCTGTTCGGCTGGAAGCCGCGTTGTCTTCAGCGATTTCGCACCGTAGAATGGTTCCTGTTCTTCTTCTGCAGCATGGGCTACATCCAGGGCTTCATCAACAACGGCATCACAACTTCGGTTTCAGCGCACATCGAGCGCCGCTTCGAGCTCAAATCGGTGGATATTGGACTAGTGTACGCAGGGTACAACATAGCTTCATTTGCATGTATCACTCCAGTGAGTTATCTCTTGGCCGAGAGTCACCGGCCGAGGGTGTTGGCTCTGGGAGGAGTTATCAACACGATCTCGTACTTTCTGTTTACTGTGCCCCATTGGATTGCTCCGGCCCACGAAATCGGAGCTTCTAGCCATTCTCTACTGACCTGCGGCTATGAGTCGTCAACATGCCGGCAGAGCGAGACGAACCTCGAAAATTACAAATGGATATTCATTCTTGCCAACATTCTACACGGAATGGGCTCGTCGCCGTTCTATACGATCGGCGTCGCCTATCTCGACGACAATAGCCCCGCCGAACGCGCGGGGCTCTACATCGCGACGTTTTACGCCACAGCGATTCTGGGTCCGGCTTGCGGAGTAATGCTGGGAGGATACTTTTCGTCGCTGCCAGAAAACCTCAAAGATATCAGCAGCTTCTCGACGGGTGTACTCGCCAGGAGTGAGACCTGGGTCGGCAACTGGTGGATCGGTTACCTCGTTTCCGGATTCATCTGCGCCTCGCTCACGATTCCCATGGCGTTCTTTCCCAAGGTCATCGAGCCGAGTAAAGCGACCTTGCAGGATTCGCCTACGAGCGGGGAGAAGCAGGACGTCCCGGAGAAAACCTTCCTTCAGTACATGAAGTTCCTGCTGACGAACCCCATTTTCATTACACTTTCGCTCGCCGCCGCCAGCGAAACGTTCGTGGCCACGGGATACTTGAGTTTCGGTGTGAAATTGTTCATGACTCTGTTCGGTATGACAGGACACAGTGCCGCAGCCGTGCTCGGCGTGGTCGCTGTACCGAGTGCTTTCGGAGGGACGATACTCGGCGGTTACTTGACGCGTAAAATCAATGCGCGACCCGCCGTTGTGATTCGCATTTGCACGTTAATCGCGTGCGTCCCGTTCATAGCAACGTTCGCCTTCCGAAATTCCTGTCCGCCTCGCGAGTACATGATGCAAGGCGGCCCGAGGCCTCTGTACGCCAACTTCTCCGACAGCGACCTCTTGATGCAGTGCAGTTCGGCGTGCAGGTGCACCAAGAACACATTCGAGCCCACTTGCGGGTCGGATAGTTTCAACTATTATTCGCCTTGTCACGCAGGCTGTCGAGAATCAACGATGACTCCGGAGGGTCACGTAGTCTACTCGGACTGCCGTTGTATGAGCAACCATACGACGGGCAATCTGGACGGCATTCAATTAGAGCCCGGCCAGGCTCTGAAGCGGCCCTGCGAGCCCAAATCTTGTTCCGTGCTGTACATATTCTGCATTGCGGTGTTCGTGTATTTATTTTTTATATTTCTCGTAGCTACGCCGTCCTTACTGGCGATGATGAAATCGGTCCCCGAGGACTCGAAGACGCTGGCGTTGGGCATCAACTATGTCTCGTTACGATTGTTCGGAACGATTCCGGGCCCGTTGTTATTCGGTAAGGTGGTAGATTCAAGCTGTGTACTATTCAAGGACAAACCGTGCGACAGTTCAGGCGCCACCGGCAATTGTGTGATATATGAGAACGCGCGACTCGCCACGAACGTATTCAACCTCATGATCATTGTGAAGACTTTCGCGTTGGCGTTCTTCGTGTTGGCGTGCGTGGTCTCGAAAAATTCCTCGCAGACGGCTCCGGCAGAAGATCACCTCACTCCCATGAAGATGCCGACCGAAGAGAAGGTCTGATGTTTTCTTGCTTGTTAGTTTTCGTGAGTCATTCATGGAAAAGTGTCTTCAACGAGAGCCCGATTGAAAGTACCCCAGTGATAGGCGTCGTCGTTTCCCGATCGTTTTTTGGTGACAATGAGAGAATACTGCAAACTGAGACGCATGAAGACAAATCAACCGAAAAGTCAGAATAAAGTGAAAGTAGGCGGTATTTTTACAGCAGAAACGGATCGTTTCTACCTGAACGAGGGAGTACTCATTTCTTCGCTCGGAGCTGTCTCCGTGCCCGTCAGTTATTGGCGTTCGCTTTCTGGGGTTTGGACGAGAGCGGCACGCAGACAGATAAACAAGCGAGCTACAGATTGATTCGATGATTGTTTGAGAATATCCAGAAACAGACGAGCTACCATTGTGCGGCCACTGCTATTGCTGCTTCTTCTTCTTCTGCTTCTTCTGCTTTTTCTGATCTTGGTCGCGGTTGTTGTCTCGGTAATACGCGGCAAGATACGGACGGCATCCGAACGATGATTTCCCGCTGACGCGTCTCCCAAGGCTGTTGACTGGTTGCGATTCGTTTTTCTCCGCTTATTCGCTTGGTCGTCATCGAGGACGAAGCTGTACTTTAAGCCAAGTTCCACAATACACCAGGATTGCGTAGGTTGCGATTGCTTCCTCCTGTTTGGTTCTGAGGTATCCATTTCGGAAACTCGTTTCGCCATTCCCGCAACGTGGAAGCTTCCATTCACAGTAATCAATACTCTCTTCCTCAGGGAGGCGGAGAAAAGTATCGTCCTGGGCGGCTTAGGTAGAAATTTTGAACTCCCTCAGTAATAATGTAGCTCACCAGTATTTGCACGAGTAGCGGCCTTGTCCGTGTATGAGAGAGAAGCTCCTCGGCTCCAGCATTCTGTTGATACGCCGAGTACTGTTTCCTCACAATCGAATGGAAAGAAGCCGATCAACGTAAAATTACGGGGCTTTCAGAAAAAGCGAAAACCGCTTCGTCTCGCAGCCAGAACGATCTTCCAAGACCATTCAGTGGAGCAGAAATCGACCGCGGTATCTCTGGGCTTCCGTACTTTTCATTACCGAACGCGATGGGTTCTCTCAACGCCTACGATTTTCTGCTGGACGCTCGCGGCGGTCACCTTGGAGATGACGAAAAGCTCCTCCATTCGGGGATGCTGTCTTTCTACCAGCATTCCTTAATCCATTCCGTCAGCGAAAGAAGTCTCGCGATGGATTGTGATCGTCTGGAGCTCCTCTAGGCTCGCTGACTTCCGGTGGAATATCGCCGAACCCTCCTGAGACCGAGAGGATCAGGGACATAAAGATCGTTTAATAAGGCGTGCTGCGACCAGTGGTACGCTCTCTGAGTGGACTTCCCGGCCGCATGCCCAAGGCCGCTTCATTCAGGCGGAGAGCGGTGACACATGACACCTCCGTCATGGTCCTTGGTACAACGAGCGCGCGGCGGATGGAATACTGATCTGTTGAGCGAATAATCGACCGTTCACTATCCAAGCAAACTGTTCCAGAAATTACGCAGAGTGTATACTCTCGGCGATTGGGCCGATTGCGAGACGAGCGAGACATTGAATTCGCAATGGAAGTTCTGGAAAGACATAATTTTGATCGAAACCTCTGCGGGGGGAGGGGGCGGGATACGTCTGAACTGGACCCCGCGGAACTCTTATTCGTCTTCCGCGTTCCGAAGAGAAGAATCAGAATTCCGGAGAATTTCTCGATCCGGGAGGAAAATGCTGCACGAAACGTGGCCGCCGGGTCAGGGCTCCCTGCCTCCGCTGCCAGAAGACTAACCTGCTGCTATACTGGTAAGAATGAATAGGGAACTAGCGTGCCGGATGAATTCGGTAGCGGCATGAATAATTTAATCCGCACGTAATTGCGTCTGGTTCAAAAATTCATGTTGAGAGAGGACAGAATACGCTTCTCTGTCTGACGTCCCCGAAGCCGGAGGTGATAAACGAGCGTGTCCCGCGGCGAGATGGGAAATTCCCTAGGCAACTCCGAGGCTCGGAGACCTCCCGCCCTCCCATGGTGATTCTTGAGAGCTCTCCCGCGAATTCCAGTCGTCGCTGATCTCGGTCGGCCTTCCGCGTGAGATCCGCCTCGACAATGGGGAGAAGAGGGAACTGCCGGGAGTAATCGCTGCCCCCCTGATCATGGCGGGTTTGATGGGCGGGGGCCTACCATTTGTGGCGAGCTCGGCTCCGTTTCAGGAATCCACGATATGTCGTGCTCTGGTAGACCAGTGATACGCGCTCGGGGCTTATTCCCGGGAAGCATCAACGCAGCATCGGGAGCGTGATGAAGCCTTACAACCAGAAGAACTCCCCGAAGCTCGAAGCTTTGAAAAAACGCTTGAGTACTAGAGATTGTTTGCGCAGAGGATTCGCTATCGAGGGGCATCCAGACGGTCTGAGCGGAGGAGGAGGAAGTCATCGGCTGAGGCTGGTCGCGAGTAGCTGCTCCTCACACCTCGGGAGGTAAGACCGTCGCGTCTTCCAGACGTTTCCCAGAGGAACGTTTCTCGCTAGATATCTTGTAGAACAGAATTCGTAGCGAACAGATGTTAAGAATTCCGACAGGGTAGTCTCCTCATAGAGGTTCTGGTAAAATAAATTAGCCTCAAGATAAGAGGAACCCCGGTGCCCGGCCTGGTTTCCCAGCCTTCCTCCATTGGCGGGGGAGCGCAACGAGCCCGGTCGAAACTTTTGGGAGCGTTCGAATTCGGGGCACGGCACGCAATCGGTCGGAGAACTCGATGTCCACCAGGTGGGACCTGACGTTCCTACCGATCTTACTCTTTTAAGAAAACAAGATCGCTACGATACAGATCGAGCCTTCGTTCTTGCTGAGCTGCTGAGCGCCTCCAACACTTATCGTAATTACCTGGATTGGATGTTTTTGCACCATCTGCCTCCCTCTCCGACGTTGACGTGTCTGGAATACGGACACGACTCGATGGCCTGAAAACATTCGTGGGAACCCTCTATAATGCTTCTCATCCTTGCTTATGCCTTGGCAACACTGATGCCGCATCAGTCTTATGCCTCGGTATACAAGAGTCGGGGGAGTTTCTGAGCGATTCCATTCGGTCGGAGGAACAAATTATTGTGAGACTACTCTCAGGCTTTGCATGCGCTTCCCTCTTCATTTTCGTATTACTCCTCTCTCTGAGCGTTCTCCGAGAACCAGCCGAATTCATTGTCCAGATTTTTCGGAGCTCTTCCGCCGTTACGCACACCGCATTGGGGCTCCAACAGCATGAGCGTCTACGACGGGGCGAATTTCCCGACTGAGAGTCGGACCTGGCACCGTACACATGTCTCTTCTAGAATCGACTCGTGGGACAGAACGAGTAAAGACCTCGTGTCGGAAAGACACGGAAGAGCACGCGGATCGTTCCGCGGGCTCGAAGTCTCCCCAGACCGGCGTTTCGTGGGAGCGAGAAGTGTGTCACGAATGTCATAAATTACAGGTCTCTACCATTCGGCTTGATTTCTGTTCTTGTTTCCGATCGAGAGATGCGACCACGGAGGTATTCGTACTCGATCCGACCTTGACATGAGTCGGAATCTGATCCTGATCACTACGCCAACATCGACCATCTCGAGAAGTGAACTACTAGGGGTATTATATCGGATTAGAAATTCCCTCGCGATTCACTCAAAAATCATGCATACGATCGATGGAACGGATCTGTATGGAATCCCGATTCCCGAGTTTGGATAAAGGTGGACCTAGGACGATCCCCGAGTCTCCCTCGAAGTCCTTGAAAGGCGATGGTCATGAATTCTTCACGAGGTCCCATTACCATGAAGAGCGTACGCTTGGAAGAATATACGCTCAGCTCGGAGCCTCTGAGCACCGCTTTGAATTTCTCTAACGTCTGCGTTCGCAACGGCTGCGACTCAACGGAACTGCTCCGAAAAATCCGGAGCCGCGGGCGACGGGTGTAGGCTTCCGACCGTGTGTCGGTCGCTGGATCTACTCGATCATTCCACCGACTGACTTTCAATGCACCGGGATTCACAAGTTGTACAGCAGTCGAGCAATTAGCGTTGAAGGACAACGCAGCTCCTTGTCGAAAGCAGATCGATGCATAACTTTCCATCTCGCTCCAAGACGTCTATCTATGGCGCGTAATATTTCACGCTGGCACCGCAGGGATTTTGTTCCCGGTCGGTTCGGGGCCCCCATCGTTATGCCCGTGATGAAAGATGTGGCGAGCCGGTTGGGTGTACCGTGAATTTTCCTGTGGACGGGCAAACTCTGATAGAGGGGCAGTCTCCACTAGACGGGAAATATTAAGGGTGCGGCTTCAAGTAACCGAGACGCGAAGAATGGAGATTTCTCTCGTGGCTCTTTTTGTGAGTATTCGATGTGCTGAAGGTAGCTATATGATGGCTTCAATATAGTATGCTGAGATGGGAGTTCCCTTCGTTGGCGGACGGGAGAACTAAACGGACAGTCTCTGATGATCGGGAAGGTTTCGGATTGTCGAAAAATTGACGGACATGACGTTCTCTCAGAATTTCAACTGTATCCTACATAGGATCAGCGGCTCCCGGATGGGTTTCGGGACGAGCCTTCATGTCGTTTGTGATGAGTCGTTTGTAGAGATAACACGGAACATGGATGGAATCCTTCCGAGAAATTTGGCTCAGGGAAGCTCCCGCCGGCTCCTTCAGCGTGGAGGCGAGCACGTAAGCTAGAGTATGCTTCGAGAGCCTGCCGATGTTGTCCGCTCAGAGGACGTATTTATGCGGCGGCGTCACAAATGTAAGATGTCAGCGACCGGGATGCCAGATTGTCATATTGCCGAGAAAGACCGAATGGCAGAGCCGCCCTCGGGACCAAATCTCAGATTAGGGACAGTATGCGAAATTTCCCGGTCGTCGATACATTGTCCCTGGCTCCGACTAAGAAACCAAGCGATTGATGCAAACATGTTCTGGACGAACCGAAGATGAGGTCTTCTCCTTTGGCAGAAACTTCATACTCTTCGCGGATGATATGTAAATCATCAGACACCTTCATCATGAATCCCATTATTGCACAGCATCCTACGATTTTGATTTGAATTATTGAGATCGATGCACCGCATGAATGAGTCCACGATTCTCCAAGTCGATTATTCCCTGAGACAGGTTTTGTGTCCCCGCGAATTCTGTGCCATCATCATTTCATCAATGAACG